TTGCTGCAGTGATCAGATACTTTCCAACACTTCACAGATGAAAACCAGGACACATGTGGCCATGCAACATCAGAGTGTAGTCAAGATGGTAAAAGTTATTGATGAGGAAGAACACCCAAGCCAGGAGAGGCTGCAGCAGTTTGCTGATCCTACTGAGAAGGGCAAGACTGCCCTCTCTTTTCCACTCATCTCTTCTGAATTAATTTAATGCAAACTATGTTCATTCATTTATTTAGAGTATTTATACCAGGGGTCGGCAACCTACGGCCTGCGGGCCGCACCCGGCCTGCTGACCGACCCCCGCCGCTGCCGTGCTGCCGCACACGTTGCAGCCGCCATTTTGTTTGCTAAAATGGCGGCCGCGACTCATTTGCACATGCGCAGTACTCCTTTGTTTGGCAAACAAATGGCAGCCGCAATGTGCGCGGCAGCTCGCGTGGCGACTGGTGGCTGCACGCACAGTGCCACGCCGCCATCCCCCCCCAGCCCGCCGGAAGACCTGGGGACCAGCGACCAGCCCCAGGTAGGTTAACATTGCCGACCCCTGATTTATACCCTTGCTTAGAGACTACGACACAGAACAATGGATGCAAGCTCCAAGAAAAGAGATTCCACCTCAGTATTAGGAGGAACTTCCTCACAGTAAGAGCTGTTCAACAGTGAAACACACTCCCTCTGAAAGTGGTGGAGTCTCCTTCTTTGGCAGTTTTTAAGGAAAGGCTGGATGGATGTCTGTCAGGAGTGCTTTGATTGTATATTCCTGCATGGCAGGGGGTTGGACTAGATCAGGGGTAGGCAACCTTTCCCCTTTAAGGGCCAAGGGACTTCAGCTTCCAGAAGCCTCAGCCATGTTGGCCAATAGTCCCATGTTGGCCAATAGCTCCTGGGATTCTGGGAGCTGAAGTCCCTCGGCCCTTAAAGGGGAAAGGTTGCCTACCCCTGGACTAGATGGCTCTTGTGGTCTCTTCCAGCTCTGTGATTCTTCAGGTTTAAACAAGTTTAAAACAGGCTCTCAGAGCATCTTGTTTTTGTTGTTAACTGCCCGCAAGTTGTCCCCAACTCATGGCAACCCTGTGTATGAGTCATTTCCAAGATCCCTTGTCTTCCACTACTCTGTTCAGGTCCTGAAAACTCATGCCCATGGCCTCCATCTGGTGTCTATCCATCTGACATGTGGTCTTCTTCTCCTCCTCCTGCTCTCTACCTTTCCTAGCATTATTGTCTTTTCTAATGATCTATGCCTTCTCATCGCATGGCCAAAGTAGGATAGCCTCAATTAGTTCATCTTGGCTTCCAAGGAGATTTACACTTGATCTGTTCAAGGATCCATTTGTTTGTCTTCTTGGCTATCCTTGATATCCTAAGTGGTCTTCTCCAGATGTTACTTTGACAGTTTGCTGTCCTCAGTTTACAATCTTTTTTACAATCAGTTTACAATCTGGCCTCAGAGGGAGAGAAGAAGGAGGCACAGCTCCACCATGCCTAGCCCCAGAGGCAGATGAAAGGCCCTCCCTCCATTCCATCCAGCACTGCCCTGGTCTTGGAGGGAGAGAAGAAGAGGTAGTTTCTGCTGGACTTGATCCACTTCCCCACTCCATTCCCTTCTCCTTTTGTGTTATGTCTTTTTACATCTGAGGCCAGGGTGATGGCAGTTCTGTTTTGTTTTTAGATTGTAAACCTGAGGATAGTGCACTTTCAAATTAGCAACTGGAGAAGAGTGCTTAGGATACCATGTACTGAGTCCCTGTACTGGGAGGAAGACATGATATAAATAAACAGAATAAGAATAATACAACCAATTTTTTTAAAAAACTAATTTTTGAAATTTTCTTTAAAAACATCACATCTTACCAAGCATTTACTTTAAGCACATGAAACTATGTACATGTAAATACATTTACGCTGTGCATATGTTATTGTAATTTAAAGGTATCATTTTAATTTTATTTGTTTATGTCACAACTGCTGCCTTTACATTTAGCCATAGTACTGCCTTTACAAGGGACTTACAATTTATGAGTAACATTAGTACAAAAAACATCACTAAGGATTTTGTATGGTGTAGTATGGGAGGTGTTCAATTGGGGGGCAGTGCATTACCGCATGGGGTGATGCCAACCCTAGTGACACCACTGGTTCTTCACATTAATGCAAAAAAAATTTTTTTTTGGTTTAAATAACAAAAGTGTTCATGTGTGTGTTTTAAACCTGTTTTCCCCCAGTCCTGGTTTTCAGGGAAGCATTAAAGCAAGCATCAGGTTTGATGTGTGTGGTGGCTGATGCTAGTGAGTCAGCAATGTCTAATGCACACCTTCACTTTGAAACATGCAACATACAAAGGAAGTCCTGTCCCCTGGCCAAATCTGCTGACAGCTTTGTGGAAAGACACCTTGAAGCTTTAAAGCTATTGATGCCATTCACAGGTTTTGATTTTTTTTCCATTTGAAAGCTGCACAAGAGATAGAGACGGACAGCACTGATTTTCCCTGACAAACACCAGAAAAAGCACACGGGAATGAGTTGTGGCAGCCACTCCCAAGCCATAAGCTATGACTGCTCCAAGATGTGGCATCAGGGCTATGGGAACTGACAGGCAGCTTGCGCAGGGCACCTTTTCCCCTTCTTGATGTGCCTTGGGCTCTAATGAGATGCGAGAGGGAGCCTCCCCAGGCATGACACTTTGACACACTGTGAGTATTGGGATGTGCGTTTGCCACAAGGAGGCCAAGTATTAGAAGGTCAAAAGCACAAGCGTGGCTTTACCACCCCTGACAGCAGCAGCGGGTGATAGCAGACAGACAGACAAGGGACACAGAGCATCTCCAGAGGCCATCAAGAACCTCTCTGTGCTATTTATCATCTCCTCTTATTAACTGGAGGTCATCTAGGATGAAAGTCAGGGTGAGGAAGAAGGGGAAAGTGGAACCCTCTCTTTGTTTTCAAAGATCACAAAGATGTGTGTCGATGGCTCCAGAACAGACCATTCTTGCCTCATTTTCTTATCAACCAACTTGAGGTTTTTTTAATACAGTGGTACCTCTGCTTACGAAATTAATCCGTTCCACAGCCCATTT